TTTTTTTTAATATATCTTTATTGATTTCAGAGAGAGGAAGGGAGAGAGAGAGAGAAACATCAATGATGAGAGTCACTGATTGAGCCCCCAACCCGGGCCTGTGCCCTGACCGGGAATCGAACCCCGATCGCCTGGATCCCAGGTCGACGCGCAACCACTGAGCCACGCCGGCCGGGCCGTGAGCAGCTTCTTGAGATGAAGGTGAGACCGTTTCCCTCCCCCCCCAAAGGGAAAAAGTAACTTAAAATGTGAAACTACTAAAGAGACTGGTCTCTAGTTTTAAGATGCAGGCTCACTAGCAGTGAGAATGCGGATCGCCACAGTCACGTCGGGGACGCGCAGCCCCAGGCAGGTGAGTTAAGGGCCTGAAACCACGATGCCTACTTTCAGCAAGAAGCAGTGTGTGCACCTTGACCGACGCCAGAGCCACGGACCTGTCACAGGGTCCCACGTCTTCACTAGCAGTTTAACGAGACGCAGTTTAAATGCAAGGAACAGACGTGGAGAATCGTAACCGGGTGAAACGTGGCGCCCGCTGCTGAAGCCGGTCCCCCGCCCCCAACCTGGGGCAAAAGCTCCCGGGCAACTGCACCTGAAATTCGTTTATCAAACAAATGTTCAGGTTCTAAAAATTTATAATGGGGGGGAGGCTGTGCATGAAAACAAGACAGACCCTTGCCCAGGCCGGCCCACACCAGAGTGTCGGGGTTCAGGGTGGGGCTGTCCCAGGAGCTCGGCCCGCCCTGCGCCCCGCCAGGCCTCCCTGCACCGAGGCCACGGTTCATGGCCAACATCAAGGAACAAGCTCAGCCCTTAGTATTGTTGTTTCTAACCTCAAACCCGCCACGTGAACAGCGGCCGTGGGAGGTTGTGGGAGGGCCAGGGGCTGGGTGCGCTGAGGGCTGAGCAGCCCCTTGAAAGGACAGCACCGCCCACGGCGACCGGGACTCCCGCGGGCCCCCGGCTCTGGTTCTTAGACCTGGACAGAGGGAGGGGCCCAGATACATCACCAACAAGTCTTCCTTTTCATTTTTTTATTTATTCTTAATATGTCTTTATTGACTTCAGAGAGAATGAGGGANCGGCGACCGGGACTCCCGCGGGCCCCCGGCTCTGGTTCTTAGACCTGGACAGAGGGAGGGGCCCAGATACATCACCAACAAGTCTTCCTTTTCATTTTTTTATTTATTCTTAATATGTCTTTATTGACTTCAGAGAGAGTGAGGGAGAGAGACATCGATGACGAGAGTCACTGATCGGCCGCCTCCTGCTCGCCCCTCGCTGGGGATCGAGCCCGCAACCCGGGCCTGTGCCCTGACCGGGAATCGAACCCTGACCTCCAGGTCCACAGGCCAACGGTCAACCACGGAGGCACACTGGCCGGGCAGCCGGTCTTCCTTTCTAAGAAGCCACGGCCAGGAAGGAACCCAGGCAGCTCAAGCCAGAGCTTCAGGCGCCGCCTGGGGCCTCCCGGGGAGGNAAGAAGCCACGGCCAGGAAGGAACCCAGGCAGCTCATGCCAGAGCTTCAGGCGCCGCCTGGGGCCTCCCAGGGGGAAGAGAGGCGAGGCCGGGGAGCCAGGTGACACCCGGAGCCACGGTGCTGCCTAAAGCGCTGGGAGCAACACTGGCCTCCTAGCGTCATTTTTCATCCAAAAAAGAAGGGCTTGATTTCCAAACACAAATCGCCCCATTTCAAATGCAGTCAACAGGCGCTCAGGAGATTGAAAGGACCTGCCCCAGGATGTGGAACCACCTCCGATCTGCCTCCAGCAGGCGGGCTGAGCAGCCTCCCCGTTTCATCTCCGGGGCCGGTTCCCCAGCGGGCTTGTCAGTGCCACGATGCGGGTTAGGTTTGAGCCGAGGTGCCCAGGCTCGGCAGGCAGAGCCGCTTCTTGCTCGGGGCGGGGAGTGACGCACACCGCACGGCAGGGTGATGCGGGCGGGCCCCCCACGCCGGCTGCCACCTGAAGGAGCCTTCGCACCCACAGCGGGCAAAGCCCGGGGAGGACAGGGCGGCTTGTGGCCGCAGCTGGGGGCTGGGCCCCCTGACATCCCGGGGTGTCACCTTGACCGTGGTCCTGACTGGAAGAGACCCCAGGGAGACCTGTGCACGTCCCCTGCTCACAGCAGATGATGGCTGCGGGACCCGGGGCTCAGGCGTGCGGGCCGCTCAGTCTGTGTCAGCCGGACTGAGCCCCCGGCGGCCCGACAGCTGGCCACACGTTCCTCTCAGGCTCCTGTGGAGGGAAGGACCCGGAGCAGCCAACACCGCGTAAAGCACCGGAGGAGCAGAGCGGTCGGGAGACGGGTGCTACCCGAGCCAAGGCTCACCGCAAAGCCACAGTGACCAACAGCGCGGTGTTGGCGGAACCGCCCATCGATGGAACAGGACAGAGACGCAGAAATGGTCCCCCGTGGTCTGTGACAACGGGCAGAGGTGACACCGTGCAGCAACAACCGTCTCCCTCCCCGACAGAACGGGGCTGGGAGAAGTGGGCATCACAGCTACACAAAACCCCCAGACGCAGGCTCACGCCCTTCACAGAAATTAACCCAAGATGGGTCACGGGGCGAAGCGGAAAACACGCAGCTGCAGAACGCCCGGGAGACGGCACCGGAGGAAGCCTGGGCGGCCGTGGGTGTCACGGGGGCTTTCCTTTTATTTCTTTTTTATTATTAATTTTGAATCCTCACCTGAGGATATATATTTTTTAAATATATCTTTATTGATTTCAGAGAGAGGAAGGGAGAGGGCGAGAGAGAAACATCAGTGATGAGAGAGTCACTGATCGAGCCCGCAACCCGGGCATGTGCCCCGACCGGGAATCGAACCCTGATCGCCTGCATCCCAGGTCGACGCTCAGCCGCTGGGCCACGCCCGGGAGGGCCCGAGGACATTTGTTTTCTGCTGCTTTTCAGAGCGAGCGGAAGGAGGAGAGGGAGAGAGACACACACACACCCCGACTGCGCCCCAACCTGGGCCAGGGATCGAGCCTGCGACCGCGGCACGTGCCCTTGGCTGGAATCACACCCGGGACCCCACCGTCCACGGGCCGACGCCTGACCACTGAGCCACACCGGCCGGCGCCGTGGCGCGAGGACTTTCAGATGACACAGGAGACACGTGGCGCGAGTGGGGCTGTCCACACGTCATCTGCATGGAACGCTCCCTGCAGCTTTATTCAAAACAGCTGCAAACCGACGGGTGCGTGGACACAGGGTGGCGCCTGCTCAGCGGGACCGGGCAGCAGGGACAAGGGCTGAGGGCCGGGCGCTGCTCTCACAGGGGCAGCGAGGGATAAAAGAGCCACATGCGGAAGGACGCGCCACGTGACCCCATTCACAGGAACCTTCACAAGGGCAAAACCGGCGGCAGAACCCAGGCCGCAGAGGGTCCGGAGGCCACGGGGCTGGAAACGCCCTGTGACTCTGCGGCCCTGGTGGTGGGTGACGCAGGCGGGACACCGGTGCGGCCGTTGAGCTGTACACTTAAAATGTGTGTGAACTACACCTCCAGGCAGTCCATCCAGGAAAACACCATTAGCAACCTTACAGCTCCATCCCCAGAAGCTAAGGCCTCTCCTGTCTCCCGGACGTGAGGCCGCGAGTCCCACAGGACGGCCCCAGCGCGAGGCCTCGGGCGCTCGGGCGGCGGGAGGGCGGGGAGGGCGCCCAGAGGTGTA